GTTCAGCATCTTAGCTGTGGAGGGCAGTGTCACTGGCCCTCATATGTGGGATCCGAACCGGGGCCCTCTGGCATCCCAAGTGAGTTCTTAACCATTGCGCCACTCAGCCGGCCCCCATGTGCTTTAAATATATTAACTCATTTATTCCTTATAACAATCCTAAGTGGTAGTTTCCCCATTTTACAGAAGAAACTGAGACACAGAAAAGTAATCTGTCCAGGGTCACACAGCTAATGAGCTCAATTAAAAAAATACCTTGGGGGCCGACCGAATGGCTCAGTTGGTTAAGAGCTCGCTCAAGTGTGACCTCTGAGCAATAGGGTCGCTGGTTCAATTCCTGAGCTGAGCTGCTGCTGAGCTGCCAACAGGTGGCAAGATGGCTCAGCTAAAAAAAAAATAATAATAAAAATAAAAAATCCTTGGGTTAAGTTTCCTTAAAAATTTTTCTGGGACTGACAATTCATAGAATTAGAAAGCAAGAAACATACAGTATGTCTCTTATCTACCCAGTTGGTACCTGAGCGCTGAGTAAAAAAGGTCTCAGCTTCATATACCAAAAAAATGTTAAGTTTTCATTAGCACTAAGAATTTACTGATGCACTATGATAACTTTCATTATTACTTAGACTTAATAATCTAGAGATAATGGGAACTAACATTTATCAAGCACTGATTATGTGCCAGGCACTTTGCTAACTGCTTTGCATATAGCCTATCATTTAATCCTAACAGCCACATGAGGCAAATACCATAATCTCCATTTTATTCATAAGTAAACAGAAGCTTAGAAAAGATACTCATTTATCATCTAGTAAATGGGAAAGTCAGGATTCAAACCCATGTGGGACTAATAATTCAAAAATCTTATTTCAGCTCATATCTTCAATCTCTTCTTCCTCTAAATTTAGGGATACTAACAAGATTGGAAACATTTTATTTTGAATTTTCTCTTCCTTTCACAGTCTCTAACAGATGGGCTTTCTTGGACCAACAATCAGTACCACTGGTTTATTTTAAACTGTAGTTAAAAGGTGGTGAAGACGTCCTTTGTTTTGTGGCTAAGAATGAAATTAGAAGAAAAAAAACTCTCCATATTTTCAGAATGAGATCAGCAATTCATCTAAACCTTAAACTATAAATATGTAGCTGATTGGTTTGGGGGGAAATCCAGTCTAATAACTGTCCTTAATAAGTTAAAAGTGAATCAACTGTTATAAAGGAGGAATGACAATGCTGAGAGCTTGCTATGCCAATGGCCCTTCTGACAGGTTTTATATGGCACCATACTTTGTACCAGATGACCCTACTCAATCAAGTGTGGCACACAATCCAAGAACAGAGAATCTCTCAGCAGACTAATGACCTAAGAGCTAGCATGGCACTACCGGGTCATTAAGTGAATGAATCAGATATTCTCCTTTAGAATGTGAATGTGAGGTTTAATAATGAGAAGAGAGAAAAGAGCACACAGGCAGGTATCTAGGAGAACAGACAATTGAGAGAGCTAACAAAGAGCAGCAGAAGCACTAGATCAGCAGGGAAAACCTGAATAGGGAACAAAGGCACCCGTTTCTGAGGGGGCTTCGCTCTATGGCTGATTCTTTTTACTATGAGGCCTGGCTATATTGTTGAGCATCTATCTAACCTTCATTTTTTTCTTGTAAATCCTTAAACTTAAAGACAATCATAATGTCTCTATGCCATGCCATCAAAATACATACATACATACATACATACATAAATACATAACTGAATACAGAGGAGGAAATAAAGAGGGGGAAAAAAGAAGAAATGTGCTCTAGAGGTGTAAGCTACTGCTTTTATAAATGAGTTAATAAAATAGGAATAAAAAGGAAAAAAAGATTAAGTAGAAAGCAAGAATGCAAATGTGTCACCTCTAGGTCAACAAAACCACAATGATCTATTATAAATCTTGACTGATTTTCCTTGAAGACAAGGCAAAAAGCAAAAGAAAGATACATGAATTATTATATAACTCATTTCTGAAGTGGTATACTACGTAGGGGACACTGAATGATAGATGAATGTCTTTAACAGTAACAGCAAAAGCAGAATAAGAATTTACATAACCATTGCTGCTTATGACCCTTCAGTAAAATTCAAAGCATTGGGCTGGCCGAGTGGCGCGTTGGTTAAGAGCTGGCTTGGGACGCCAGCTCTGAGCAGCAGGGCCCCAGTTCAGATCCCACATGAGGGCCAGTGACGCTGCGCCTCTACAGTTAAGATGGTGAACAACAGCTCAACCTGGATCTGGGCTGCTGTGGGTCACCGGCGATGGCGTAGGCTGCAGCCCCTGCTGCAGTGGGCTGCCATAAGCTACCGTGTGTGGCTGGCAGCCAAGNGCTCTGAGCAACAGCGGTTCGAGTCCCGGCCCGAGCTGAGCAGCCGCTGAGCTGCCAACAGGTGGCAGGATGGCTCAGCTAAAAAAAAAAAAAAATCTCTTTGGCTGCTGAGTTGAGAACAGTAGACAGGCAAGGGCAGAAGCATGAAGATGATTTAGATCTGCAATAATCCAGGTAAAAATGATGCAAATGGTCAGGTTTGGGACATATTTTGTATGTAGAGCCTACAGGATTTGCTAATGGACTGAATATAGGGTAAGAGAGAAAGGAGTCAAAGATGACTTCAAGGTTTCTGAGTAACTGGATCAAAGTAAATCTGTAAAATCACACTGCATCAAGAATCCAGATTTTAGAGCTAGAAAGGTCCTTTGACATCAATTAATCCAACATCTTACTTTTACTGATGTGAGGACCAGAGAAGTAAAGTGACGAGGTCAAAAATCATATAGCTAATTAAAAACTGCAAAGCTATTATAGTATTAGAACCCAGGTTTCCTGAATTTCAGTCTAGTTCTTATTCCATTATACTGTATTGCTCCTTTTTCCACCTCTGGAATTAAACAATTATAACCCTAACTCCCTTCCACATGCCTCTTGTAGCCAAATCCTACTCTCTTCATCCTCCTTCTAATTACCCACTCACCGCGTGGTAAGGTCCGAAGGATGCGGCCATTTTGGGTTATGCATATGATGAACTCGATCCACCAAGGCACAGAGCTCCTTCAAGGTACCTGCAAGACAGAGGGGTCCATGGTTAGGAAGCAGCTCAGTGAACTACCATGTCAGGTTAGGTCAAAGCATGTGCTTTCAGAAAAAGAGAAAACAGGCACTGGTCCTAATATTATCTATTTATGATTATCACAAGCAGCACAAAAACTATAAGCCAGAGACTGAAAAATTAATAGAGAGGGGAGCTTACTCTTGGATAAAGATGATAATGATGATGATGATGATGATGAAGCAATAATGACACCATTCATTCATTCGACATTTATTAGCTCCTACAATGTGTGAGGAACTTTACTGGTCCCTAGAATATAGTGGTACACAAGACACTGTATCTGCCCTCAATAAAGTTAATATATGAGACAGGCGATACTGAAACTTGTGATATGTGCAGTGACAGGAAAAATCCAGGCTGCTATGTGAGCAGAGACTGGGGAGTGGGGATTAGAGAAAGCCCCTTTCAGGGGAAGTAAATTATAAGCAGGGATCTAAAGATGTACAGAAGTCCATGAGGCAAAGAGTGGTGGGAGGTGGGGTTGTCTAAGAGAAAAATAGCTAATACAAAGGCCTAGAGACACAAGACAGCAAAATACATTCAAGAAACAAGAGAAGTTGAGAATAGAAGCAAGGGTAGGGGGTGGAGGCTTGTTGCTAAACAAGAAAAATTGCTGGAGGCAATTTCTCAAACACCTGGAAGTCTGGCAAGGCACTATTAAGCACTTCACTTATTATCTTACTTCATTTTAAAAATGTATCTTATATGGAGATAGATATTAAACTGTACTCAAAACTAGCTCCTGTTTGACTCCAGCTTTTGCCACTGTTTGATGATGCTAATTTTGCACTTAAGGGTTGAGACCTGGGCTGAAGCTCACAATAGCAGAAATTATTGTTAGAGAGAATAAAATAATTTCCCCAGACCAGTGGGTCTCAAATTTTAATATGCATCCTAATCAGCTGGAGGTATTACAAAACAGGTTTCTGGAGCCCAACCCCAGAATTTCTGCTTCTGCAGGTCCTAGTGGGACCTGAGATTTTGCATTTCTAACAAATGCCCCAATGATGCTGATGCTGCTGGTCTGGGAACCAACCATATTTAGAAAACCACTGCCTTAGACAGTGGAGATCTTTCTTTCAGCTAGTTTACATATTATATTGCTCATTACCTTATCTACTATGCTCTCAGGAACCAAGAACACTAACTAGGCTACTGACCATCTTTTCCAGCTCTGATAAAAAATATTTACTTAACTTTTAGGACCAATTTAATTCATTTGAAGCCTCAAGGAGCCGAGCTGTGTAGAAAAAGTATATACTTTGGAGTTAGGCAGGCTTGAGTTAAAATTCCAATTCAGCCCTAACTAGCTCTTTGACCCAGGGCAAATCATTTCACTTCTAGTCCAGGGGTCGGCAAACTGCGGCTCGTGAGCCACATGCAGCTCTTTGGGTACGTTCTGTCTCAAAAGTTTGCCGACCCCTGGAAGAGCCAATCCTGTCCCTCACAACAATTTAAAAATTGTATGAGAGCCATAAATACACTTTTACATAATCACCATTATGTGAATAATATCCTTTACAAATTTTATAAGTTAAACTATGATAGTTTTATTTTCATTTTCAATTTTACTTCAGAGCCTGCGGCTCGCAAGCCACAGTTTGCTGACCCCTGGCGGCTCTTCCATCTCAAAAGTTTGCTGACCCCCGGTCTAGTCCCACTTAACTCATCTAGGAAATGTGGACAATCATATTTAGCTTCAAGTTGAGTATTATAAATACAATACATAAAAGACCTAGCATATTGTCTGGCACACAGCCAGTGTATAGTTAGTGGTAGCTATTACTATGGTGTTACAGCCTCAGGCCTATGTTAGTTTTCAATGAGTCCTCAAATCCTATGACAATCAATCACCTATTTGTAAGAAAAAATGCTTATTAAATGGATCAGTCTAAATATAAACTATGACACTCAGCAACATTCAGCAGAAATTCTCTCTCTAACCATGAGATGACACTTTTCAGGAAAAATGTATAGATTCATTACATTAAAAGTTTCTGTGCAGTTAAAATAAAAAAAGCACAACCAAGGGTAAAAGAAGACAACTGACAAAATGAAAAATATATCTGAAAGATAATTGGCAGAGTAATTTAATGTTCTTATTCTACAAAGATAAGTCTACGCATAAAACAAAATAGGTCAAGGACATGAACAGGCAATTCACAAAAGCAATACAAGTGATCAATAAACATAATGGAAAGACGTTCACTCGCATTAATATGGAAAGAAAGCATACTAATCTCACTTCTTGATAAGGAAATCTAAACCAGAAATGAATTTCTTCTTTAATAAGGGAAGTAGCTTTTGATTAGAAAATCCCTTGCCTGCTGGATTTGTTTGGCTAAAATCAAAGTTCTTGATTCAAATTGCCTTTCCTATACCCTCCTTTCACATCACTAAACCCCATTCCCTCTAGACCCCACAAAGGTCATTTCAGTGGAAGGAAAAAAAAATCAGCTTTGTTTAAGAATTTCAAGATACAGTTTTTCTGTCCAAGCATGACTAAAGGAGGGCGTGTCCAATCACAAAATGAAACAAGATTATCTGTAGACCACATCCTTCAGCTCACTCATCTCTTACCACCTAGATACTATAAAAAAAATTGCCCTGGCGATGGAAACTAAAGGTATACTAGAAACCTCCTACAAAGAAACCTATTTACTTTAAACTAAAAGAAGAAAAAGACTGGTCAATTAGGCCCAAGGAGGCTTCAAGTATTCAACTGCTAGGAATGAATCATAATCCAGCAGCAGAAACTTACATATAGCACTTACAATACATCAGGAACTGTCCCATGTGCTTTATTTTTTTATTTTTTTAAGATTTTTATTGGGGAATTGGGGGGATGGGAACAGTGCTGGGGAACTGGGGGAAGGGGAACATACAAGTTGCTGTCATCATTTTTGTTCTTCAATCTAGTTGTGGAGGATGTTGCTTCACTGGCCCAAGTTGGCACCGTCATTGCGCTCTTCCCTGGTGAGGCAGATCAGTCGCCGGC